CAGACGATCCTTGGCGCACGTCATAATTTGGGGTTGTTTGCTCATTGTAAATATATTTAATATCCAGAGTGAGCTCCTTTTTATTTCAAAACTATTCAATTATATCAATGAGACTCTAAACCGTAGGAAGTACAAGGTAATAACTAGCTACTTTGCATTTCTCTTAGAGTATAACCGTTTATACTTACAAAGACTATGCTCCCCAGTCAAGACATCATATGTCATGGCAGACTTTTCTTCAGAAGTAAGCTCGCGATTGACAAAGGCATCAAGATCAGCAAATGCTTGCGGCACCGTCGTGTCCTCATCAATCAGCCCAAGCATGATCATAGCATCCAACGCACCCTTCCCCACCTTTTCAATGAGTTTACCCCAGTCAAGAGCAGAAGGCATGGGAAGTATGTCCGCATAGATGAGATCTCCTATGATAAGAATGGCTGTTAGTGAGCCTATGTTGACAAAGACCTTCTTTGAAGTGGATTTGTTGTTGCCTTTTGCTGACTGCCAAGATCCCCTCTTTCGACTTGACGTTGACCTTCCACCACCAGTGGATGACTGGAGCAGGAAGTCATAAACGTCAAAAATAGTCAAATCCTTCTTATTCATCAGCAGCTCCCATAGATCCCTTTTTTCCCAGTATTCTTCAACCCGATCGATGCTTCGATCTCCTTGAAAAGACCCATAGGCAGTCTTAACAACAAAATAGCTTTGTGGGTGGCCTTTGCTAAATGCTTTCCACTGATCCAGATCCTCAAAATGACATCCATTGTCACGAGCAAACTCTGAGCCAAAGAAAACTCCACGGAAGCACAGAACATTCCAGAAACCAATTGGTGTCTTCAGCCATTCTGGATCATCATATATTGAATTTCGTGAAAGAATACGAGTGGGAGCATGTTCTCTGTATGGCATGAATTTGTCAGGTGAATTTGCCATCTTCTTGAGAAATTTGTCAGAGCTGTTCACATGCACAGAGAGTCCCTGCTCCAAAAGGGGCAGCCCACGCCTCAGAAAGTTGACAAAAAGCATTCTTCTGTCATCTTTGGACTGGGGAAGTGATGATTTGTCCGAGTTGAATCCTTTGGTCTTGGACGGTTTCTTTGCTCCAGAACTAGTGTTTCCTGCTCTGAATTCAGAACGTGCATTGGTGAACACAAGCTGTGCCTTCTCAATGGCCTTGTGATCAATCTGACTCTCTTTTATCCATGTCATGACAGTCTCATGCAGTACCTCAAACTTCTCCGTCAACCATGACTGTGGTTTTGCCAATGGATGCTGTCGCAAAGAAGCTTCAAACTGTCTCCAAATTGGATGTTTTTCAGT